GCAGCAGCCCAGGAAAAGGGGAGGACAAAGAAGCCAAACCAGGTGAGGGCTGAGGAGCTGTGGGGCGAGGAGCTGTGCAAAGGGTCTGCACAGCAGGGTGGGTGCCTGGTGAGGGAGCGTGACCATGGGGTGATGGCTGGGATGACTGGCAGTGCCTGCAGCAGTTGGTCCTTGTAGGGAGCAAGGCCCTGCTCCACGGGCACTGCTGTACCTGCTGTGCTGACTGTCAGACCCGTTGGCAGGAGCAGGTGGTGGCTGTTGTGGCACAGCGTGGGCTGGTGGTTTTTCAGCTGTGGCTTGAGCAGGCTGGGGGTTCCCCCGGCAGCTGCTGGGGCTGTGATGGCACTGACTGGTCTCATGGCACAGTGTGATTGGACTGGTGCAACGTGTTGTTTGCCAAGCAGAGGACACCAAGGCGGAGGAGAAGGAGCAAAGTGAGGCTCAGCAGAACGGCGACAGAGAGGAGGAGGAGGATGGCAAGAAGGACGATAGGAATCTGAACTTCCGGTTCATGTTCAACATTGCAGATGGTGGCTTTACAGGTAGGAGCAAGAGACAAGACGTTGGCTGTTGTGGCTGCCTGGGAAGTGTCATGGCTTGCCCTGCCTGGTGCCATGTCCCCAAGCCTGGCCAAGCTGCCTGGCCTCTGCTTCCACAGAGCTGCACACGCTGTGGCAGAACGAGGAGCGGGCAGCCATCTCCTCTGGCAAGATCTATGACATCTGGCACCGCCGGCACGACTACTGGCTGTTGGCCGGGATTGTCACGTACCTTTTGGCTTGGTGGGAGAGGGAGCTGGATGATGGCACAGTGACTGGGGGCCCGGGGGTGTGGTGTTGCTGGGGGGTGGTGGGCACACCGTTGGGTGGCCAGTTCATCCCTTGACCCTCCCTCGGCACCAGCCATGGCTACGCCCGCTGGCAGGACATCCAGAACGACCCACGCTACGTGATCCTGAACGAGCCCTTCAAGTCAGAGATTCACAAGGGGAACTACCTGGAGATGAAGAACAAGTTTCTTGCCCGTCGGTTCAAGGCGAGTTGCAGACCCAGGTCTGGGGAGTCCTGGCCAGCAGAGGTCAGAGTGGCACTCTGATGGGAACATGGGATGAAAGGACTCGAGGGCTCAGCCTGTTCTCCCAGGATCTTTTGGGTTGCTGGGCAGAGGCTCTGCTGGCATGACCCACCACCTGGGCAGCCTGACGTGCAGAGTGGTGCTGGTCTGCGCTGCTGCAGGGTCCGGTCCTGAGTCCTTCCTTCCTGTCCCCTCCAGCTGCTGGAGCAGGCTCTGGTGATTGAGGAGCAGCTCCGCAGGGCTGCGTACCTGAACATGACCCAAGACCCCAGTCACCCGGCCATGGCCCTGAATGCCCGTCTGGCTGAAGTGGAGTGCCTTGCTGAGAGCCACCAGCACCTCTCCAAAGAGTCCCTGGCTGGGAACAAGCCCGCCAATGCTGTTCTGCACAAGGGTGCGTGGGGCAGAGTGGGGCTGGGAGGGGTTTGCTGCCCTGGCCGTGGGGAAACACAGCCAGGAGGTTGTTTCCAGCTTGTCAGCCCTCGGCCAGGAGCTGCCTGCTGGAGCTGGCTACTCCCTGGGCCTGGGACTCTGGGGATCTGGTGG